GGGGCAGGGCTGGGCTGGGGCTGGGGATGAGGCAGGGACTGGGTTCTGGGCTGGGGCAGGGGCAGGAGCAGGGGCAGGGATGAGGCAGGGACTGGGTTCTGGGCTGGGACAGGGGCAGGGGCAGGGGCAGGGGCAGGGGCTGGGGCAGGGATGAGGCAGGGACTGGGTTCTGGGCAGGGCTGGGCAATCAGCAGAGAAGAGGAGGTGCTGGGCCCAGGCCCGAAGAGGAGCCTCTAGAGACCCTCTGCTTCCCCCGGTGTGAGTCCCCACGGACACAGGGCTCACTCTCAGTGAGACAAGCAAGCCACACACACGGAAGAGGAGTTTCCCGTTTTTATTTAGAGAAGAGACAGTGGGTGAGCCCGTGAGCACACCTGTACCTGCGAAACTGCACGGGGTGGAAGAGGTTTTACTCTGTTCCCTTTAAACATCGGACATGGCCGTCCGCAGCAGAACAAACAAAATCTACAAATTCAGCACCCCTTCCCCAGGCAGAGTGCTCCCCTTCCCAGCAGCCGACTGCGCAGGGCGGCCAGGGACTGCCCGACGCACCGCACCCGCCGGCCGGGGCATCGCAAACCCAGGGGCACGGCTGGCGGCGGGGCCTGGGCCGGGAGGTGCCCGCAGCCTCCCTGCTCGCTCCCGCGCTGGACGGGCGCTTTCCTGAAAGACACTTTAGGAAAATACATTGTGATTGAGTGTAATAATCTCTCCCTTCCAGAAAGGGCCTGACAGGCCTGCCTGCTGCTCACTTCTGCCCCATTCCAAATATTTTTACCTTATTTGGATGAAATGCATTATTTTTCTAATGAAAGGCTTTTTTTCAAAGGGCTGTTTCCCTCTGTCCAGCGGCTGCCTTTATTAGGCAGCACTCACGCCGTTTTGGGGAGGGGTTTTTTCTCCCTGAATTCAGGCCAGGCTCTCTATCCTCAAACTCCAACCTCCGCTCAGGACCCGGGGCCGAAGGCCTTGGCCCAGGTTTCTCCACGGGAGCCCAGGGCCTGCGAGCCCGCTGGCCGGGCAGGAGGAAGTGCGCTGCGGCCCCTGCCTCCAGGACGTGAGGCCCAGGGCAGCCGGGCCACTGCTGTGCTCCCGGAGGCACCCCCACGGCTCTGGCTGTGTCTCCGCCCCAGGCCACCTGCCTCTGCTCACCCAGTCTGGTCCCACTGCAGGATGAACCACTGGAAAATTAGAGGATAAATGGTCACCAAGCTAAAGAGAGACCCCATGACCGCCCACTCAGGACTGGGTGGGAGGCCGGTTCTGGGGGCGCAAGGGGCTCCAGACCAGCCTCCAGCCCTCGTGTCAGGTCGGCTCCCCTGGCTCGTCCACCACAGGCTGGTGGCCCAGGCGACCAAGAACCTGGCTTCTCTGGGGATGGCAGGGCGGCGGAGGTGACGCTCAGTGTCGGCTCTGCTGGTCCCCAGGAAGCGCGTGGCGGGAAAACAGACCCCAGGGATGTCATGTGAGGTGGCAAGCATCAAAGATAAAGCCTGAGGAGCCCGGCCAGTGTGGCTCAGTGGCTGAGCATCAACCTATGAACCAGGAGGTCACGGTTTGATTCCTGGTCAGGGCACATGCCCAGGTTGCGGGCTCGATCCCCACTAGGGGGGCTGAAGGAGACAGCCGATCAATGATTTGCTCTCATCATTGATGTTTCCATGCCTCTCTCTTCCTCTCTGAAGTGTGTGTGTGTGTGTGTTTATTTATTTATTTTGTAAAGAATACCTGAGGAAGCAGGCCAGCGGATGGACACTCTGGTCAGGGAGAGCCCATGTCGCCATGACCCGACACCTCCGTGGTGGCCCCTGGGCCTGAGTGAGGAAGGGGTTCGCTGCCAGGGGAGGGGTTGGGCCCGGAGCCCTAGAAAGGGGCCTAGGCAGGAGGTGCAATGTTTCTGAGACAAAACAGCCCTAACACCGGGTCACTCAGCCCTCAGCTTCCTCCCTCGCCAGGGCTGCGGGGGCTGGTGGTGCAGCCAGCGAGTCAGGAGGCCACCGAGGGGCTCACCTGGAGGTCCCGGCCGTCTCCAAAGCCTGTGTCTGCACAGGCTTCCGGCCCCAGGCCCGGGCCCCAGCACTGCGGCTGCAGGGCGCAGAGCACTCCGTGGAAGGAGCTGGTGCACGGTTTCCCTGGGCTCAGTGAATGCTGCGTGAAGGTTACAGGGAAGGGGAGGGCGAGAGGGAGAGGAGCCGGGGGAGGAAGAGCAAGACACGCTCCTGGGAGCACATGCATCCATTTAAGGAAGGAAGCTCCTCTCCCGCACAGCAGGTCTATATACAGCAGCGGCGGCTCTCCTCCCGAGCAGTGTCGCCCTCGACAGACGGCCGAGGATGAACCCCTCCAGGCTCCGGGCTCGGCCCCCCACCTACCCCCCTCCCCTACGGGTCCTCCCCGGGCTCACCTGGCCCAGCCTCAGCCAAGACCCCAGGAACTGGGCAGGGAGCAGACAGGGAGCCACAGGCAGGAATTAATAGGTGCACTCATTATTACAATAATGTACAGTCGCATCTCATGT